GTTTCCCAGGGCTCCATCCTTGGTTCTACTCTGTTTTTAATTTTCATCAATGACCTTCCCGATGACATTAGCTCTCAACTTGGCATCTACTCCCGCGTCGATAGTAAGGCTGATCAGTCCGACAAGATAAAAATGGTAGTCGATGTCCGTTGATAATTGGGGTAAAAATGACATCTTAATTGTAATGCCTCCAAAACTAAACTTCTCTCCATTAATCATCTGAGAGACCCCTCGCTGCCTTTCATCAACATGGCTGATGCTAACCACCAGGAAAGTGACTTGTTGCGCCTTCTCGGGACAACGTTCTCAGCTGACATGAAGTGATTCACTGTTTCGTCTGAAACAGTTTTTATCTCTAGAATCTCATCAATTGACAGTTGAGCTGGATAGATATAGTCGTAAGTTCAATGCTAACCGTTTCTTTTCTCGCACTCCTCGCCAGGCTCCGTGTTTTCCAGTCAACTTTAATCTGCAAAAATTCAAATGCAATGTCAATTTTTATCTACTGTCCTCCAAATTACTTTTTTTTTCTTTCCACGCATTATTAATGTTTCTGTTCCTAATTCCTCCACACCCTGTCACCCCCTTGTGTTTTAGTGGCTTTACTGCCTTATATGGGGTGATACCGATTAAAAAAAATTCTTACAACCAGTTACGTAATTCACAGTTATGACTGATTTGAAACACTAACCAAACCTTAAAATTCAACATCTTATCGATAAGGCAACATGCCCTTCCCTCAATGTCGTATCCTTCGCAAGTTTTATTAAAATTAGTCAAGCATTTTTTAATGTCAGCGTTAAAGAAACATATATATGCAGACCCAATATTGCTATTTTAAAAATGTAATTTTTGGTGTAAAATTATATGAACAGCAATAATCCATATTTAAAATGTCTAAAAACCGTCTTAAAATAACATTAACTTGCATCCGATAATCAGTTAGTGTTATTTAATATTATGTGTACATCAGTCAGTCAGTTATGTGCCATGCGTGATACACGCTTAGACGATCTTGTATCAGGCAGATTTTTTCCCCGCAGTAGGTTGGCATTTCTTTCATATCCAAGGCTAAAGAACCCGGTCTGTCCTGCCATTTACCCATAGCTGGGTGGGGGGAGAAGAGGATTTATACCTTTCCCAATGGTATTAGCACGTAAGTGAATGTAATGGATTCGACTGGAATTCGAACTCGGCTCTCCGTGCCGCTATCCATTATTCCACCGTGCCTCCATATCAAAATGTTACAAAAAACTGTTTAGCTCAACAAGAAAGAAGACATTTTGAATTTTAATAACAACAGAAGAAATAAGTCGCAACATGAAAAAATAAAAATGTATTTGCCTAAACAGAGCTAAATGCGAAAATCAATCTTGTAAATAATTACTAAAGAAACATTAATGTTAAAGGATTTTGCAGCTTATCTTTAAGGTACTTAACCCATTGTTATTCGAGTTTGCCGTTGGAATTTATATTTTCGATAAATCTTTTATATTTTGCGTCTTTACCAATGTATTATTAAAATATACGATAGCTGCAAGTATTTGATATTTTATATATTTTAAAGGACTTTAAAGTTTTTCAGTTATTTAAATATCACTTGAATATGTGCATGGATAAAAACATCATGATAAACATTTTTTTAAGTTTTGAGATGAAGAATTATCATTATTTACTCATATTATTTCCTTGTCTTTCTTCTTCAGTTGTCTGTAGCAATTGGAAACCTTCTTGGAATTTTGAGCAAAACCATTTATTCAATCTCCAAGTGGAGATTACTCTCATTTGACTGTCCATGCTTAGGTATATCTCATATCAGTTAAGTTAATTCTATCTACAAGGATTTGGTGAAAATTTATCTGTTCAACCAAGAATTTTTTTAAATTGTTGTTTCAGAATTGAGACGAGCCACCAACTTTTCAGCACTACTCGTAATCAATTTATTCTTCAGTCCTCTCTTGTTTTTCCCACTGAACCAGAGAGTAAGAATTTTTAAAACTACTCGAAGTAGAGATAGAACACACAACCGCCGAATATATCGATTTTATCTACCAGGCCATTTGTCCATGTCCATCTTTTTGTTGTGGAAAATTCTTAAATATTGATTAAATTCCATTTTAGTTCATTATGCACGTTATCCCTTCATTAAAACTTCAATATTTTGTATGACTAAAGAACAAAGCGCTTTACCCGTGATATTCCTTCTTCATTGTTACTAACTGAGCTACAACCGTTCTGTCGTCAACTCGATGTTATCTTTGTACCGGTCGACAACGTAGTTTACATTGGAACATGACGCACGTGTTCCTCGTTGCGTTAATAAACATGAAACGTAGGCTAATGATGACTCATTGTAATGTAGGGAGTCGCTTTAAAGGCGCATTAATGATTAGAGAAAAAAAAGCCTTTGGCGCTCATCCTCTTGAGACGCTTGTTCCAAATGATTATGGCGGACCAGCATGTGTGACTGTGGATGGGAAGACGATCAGGCTTCAAATTTGTATCTTATATTTCATATTCATCTTTCCATTACAGTTTTAAAACTCGGGGTGGGGAGGAAAAAACATACGCTTTTCATTTTTTCTTTTTGTTT